GAGAAATAAAATGTAAACAAATTGTCATGTTTCTGAAACTCAAACAGCTGTCCAACATGATGTTTTTCTGATTGATTTTCTTGAGGTCTGAGGGTAATGTTGAAAAATTTGTGATGTTCAACATTGAATATACTGAAACATCATCAATTTTAATATCGCTGTGTGCCTTTGGATAGAAAGTCTCTTGAAAGTATTGTTTTTGAAAACCAAATATTTGGTGTTAGATAATAGTTAGTATCAATTTTCTTACCTAACCGCTGACCAGAGATGTCAATTTCCATGTGCAATAACATAGTCAGATAGTAGTCAATATAAACAGATACTTTAGTTTTGTTATGACCATGATGACTTTTATGATTGTGTATATATACATAAGGCATGTAGCCCCCAAGGGTGACTGGGGAATAGAAGTATGGTCACCATTGGTCTTCCTCCGACCGGCAGTAAAACCCTTGCCAAAGTGCACCATTGGTCTTCCTCCGACCGGCAGTAAAACCCTTGCCAAAGTGGGGCGTCCGTTTTGGCTGTGAGGGATGTACAAATTTGCAGCCACGTCCGGTCAGAATGGGGACGGTAAATCCAATGCCTCGTGTAAAGAGAGTGCCACCCTCTTTGCACGTTAAGAACCCTTGCAACAACTCTTTGAGGGGTCCGTAGGTGACCTGTTGCAAGGCTAAATTTCTGTCATCCAATATACCCTCATTTCCAGTGGCAGTCTAAATGACTCCGACCTTTATCCCGGACACCCCTATTACAGAACCTACCTATTGAATTTATTGTTAATTTTTTCTCGTCCTGAATATACATGAAATATTTGCCACTGGACGTTAAGCAACCAACAATCAATCAATCAATCATAAGGCATGTAAGGTATTTCAAGATTTTGTCTGAGTTTATTAAGGGAATTAATCCCAGTATGCCTTTAATTGAGTGGTTATTGTCCCTAAATTGATGGCCTTGTAGTTCTGACTCCATGCCGCATTGTTCATGTTGTTGTACAAAATTCTACTGATGTTTGTCGAGCCTGCGACTTTTGTCGCAGAAAGCTCAACATAGGGATAGTGGTCCGGAGGCATCCACAGCGGCGTAAACTAACTACTTAAAATCTTAATATTTCAGAAGGTGGAAGACCTGGATGCATCATACCTTGTATATAGATGCCTAATGTTATGAAGTTTTCGTCTGTCATATGTCCTTTGTCCTTGACCTCATTTTCATTGTTCAGTGACTTCTTGAAAAAAAAGTTAAGATTTTTTGTAATGTTAATTTCTCTCTTATTATGAGTAGTAGGATAACTATATTTGGTATGTGCATACCTTGCACAGTCCTCATGCCTGTCAGACAGTTTTCACTTGACCTCAACCTCATTTCATGGATCAGTGAACAAGGTTAAGTTTTCGTGGTCAAGTCCATATCTCAGATACTATAAGCAATAGGTCTACTATATTTGGTGTATGGAATGATTGTAAGGTGTACATGTCCAACTGGCAGGTGTCATCTGACATTGACCTCATTTTCATGGTTCAGTGGTTAAAGATAACTTTTTGTGTATTGGTCTATTTTCTAATACTGTATACATGCAATAGGTCAACTATATTTGGTGTATGAACATATTTTATGATGTAAATGTCAGTCTGGCAGGTTTTATTTGACCTTGACCTCATTTTCACGGTTATTTGCCCAATGTTAAGTTTTTGTGTTTTGGTCTGTTTTTCTTAAACTGTAAGCAATAGGTCAACTATGTGTGGTGTCTGGAATTATTGTTATGTTCATATGTCTGTCTTTCAGGTATCATCTGACCTTGACCTCATTTTCATGGTTCATTGGTCAATGATAAGTTTTCCTGGTTAAGTTTGTTTCTTAGATACTATATTTGATACATCAGCTATATTTGATCAATGGAATGATTGTAAAGTGACATGTCTGTCTGGCAGTTTTCATCTGACCTTGACCTCATATTCATGGTTAATTGGTCAATATAAAGTTTTCATGGTTTGGTCTGTTTCTTGTATACTATAAGCAATAACTCAACTTTATATTTAGGGCTATCAACATAAAATCAATGATAGTAAAGCAGGCGAGACATTTCAGCATGTGCATTCTTATATTTATTTTGATTTATTACACAAAACAAAGCAATGCATTTAATTTGTGAAGTTCTGTAATCCTGAAAAAAGAAACTTATCAAAATTAATTTTAATCTTAAAAATTATCCTTTCTTTGGGTTTCTTTTCTTCATGTATTTGATTGACCTGAAAATAATACCTCACTTTAGATATAAATATATCTAAAGGGCTATAAACTGAATGAAGGGTTTACCTAACCAATTCATAGGACTTAAAAAGTTTACTTGTATCACCAGCTGATCACAATTTTAAAGGATTTTGGCAGTCTGCTTTATGCTCAGTATGTCCATGATGTCAGCTTTGACGAGATGCATACTGATATAAATTGTCATTAATGATTTTCATAGGTCATAATAACGTTAACAGAATTGATGCATTTTTTGTAATGGATTTTTCTTTCTTTGCATTTTATGCTTTATTTGGTTGTACACCTGATTTTATCTGTCACTCCCAACCCCCTAAGAACGTTTTTTTTTCTAGGAAAGCACTTATTATCAATATGTCTGATTTTGAAGAAAAAAATCTGAAATATATGTCAAGTAAATTAAAGTTCCACTCTTTTGTGATATACAGTGTACCAGCTAAAAACTGACTTAAATGAGGGTCTGGATGGGGGTACTTCGAGTCTGTATTCTTTCACTTTTTAGGCCATTTTTCTCTATTCTTTATACTTTTTGGCCATTATTCTCTATTCTTTATATTTTAGCACCTCATTACTCTCTATCATGTCTATTCTTTATGTTTTTTTGTCAATTTTTCTCTATTCTTTATATTTTTTGCCCATTATTCTCTATTCTGTAAGCCCCCATCCATGCCCTCATAAACTAGGCAGTATCATCCATCTTGACAAATTTTTTACAAATTACCTTTTATGGTAATAAGATAAAATAATTTGCCTACCTTCCTACCCACATCTAAAATCACAAAAAAACGCTTTTACAATTAGTGCAAATTAGATCTAGATGATTTTGGGACACATATATATGCTAAAGGAAGAGCTTTTTTCCAATCACACTGAAAATTATCAATTTTTATCTCACCGTTCCGAAGGAACTGTGAGCTTTAGCCATCACTTGGCTTCTGTCGTCGTCTGTCGTCGTCCTTCGTTGTCGTCGTCCGTCTGGTGTAAACTAATTCAAACATCTTCTCCTCTGAAACAACTGAACCAATTCCAACCAAACTTAAGCTGAATGATTCTTAGGGTATCTAGAATAAAGTTTGTGTTTTATTTTCTGTTTCATCAAAAAACATGGCCACCATGGCTAAAAATAGAACATAGGGGTAAAATGCAGTTTTTGGCTTATATCTCAAAAACCAAAGCAGTTAGAGCAAATCTGACATGGGGTAAAAGTGTTCATAAGGTAAAGTTCTATCAGCCCTGAAATTTTCAGATGAATCTAATAACCCATTGTAGGGTTGCTGCCACTAGATTGGTAATTTTAAGGAAATTTTGCAGTTTTTGGTTATTATCTTGAATAGTATTAATGATAAAGATAAACTGTAAACAGCAAATATGTTCAGCAAAGTAAGATCTACAAATAAGTTTTATATGACCAAAATTGTCAATTGACCTCTTAAAGAGTTATTGCCCTTTAAGGACAATTTTACACAATTTGTTTATCATGTTTTCTAACTTTAAAAAATCTTCTCCTCTGAAACCACTGAACCAATTCCAACCAAACTTTGAATGATCCTTTGGGTATCTAGAATAAAATTTGTGTTTTATTTTCTGTTTCGTCAAAAAACATGGCCACCATGGCTAAAAATAGAACATAGGGATAAAATGTATTTCTTTGCTTTTGAAGAAAATATGACAGATACAAAGAACATCTCAATGGAATTTTTAAGCCACTCATTAATATATATTAAAAAGCAAAAATAATCATTGATGAAAGATTTAAGCAAAAAATTGCAGGTGAGCGATTCAGGCTCTTGACAGCCTCTTGTTTATTTAATTTAATTTTTTTTTGGAGGGGGGCGGGGGGAGAGGGAGGTAGGGGGGAGCCTATAAATAAAAGTCGGGAGGGCGACTGGAAACATGCCTAATTTTTTATATTTTTTTTGCCTCAACACCACTTCATACCACAACAACTTTTTTTTTATTTCAATAGCATTCATGACACAGATAATAGATAGTTTTTGTGTCAATGTACATGTAACATACACATGATACAGTGATGATACTCCTTATTTCATCATTTAAGTGCCAATCTGCTAAGAATCAGGCAGTGGTGAAAACATGTTCTGGTAATTCAAGATATAATTTGGTTGAAATGCACTGGAAATTAAAAATTAAGGGGAGCTAACTTTGTAATTTGCTCTCATTCTAACCAAAAGTTATCTAGAGATTTCTTGAATTACCAGACACGTAGAAACGAAAGACCTACCATTTCTAAGGATCAAGGTGCATGTAACTTTGAAATAGGATGGTTAGTTCAGTGGGATTTTTAGGCCATGTTTTGAAATTCTTGTAAATTGCCTGATTCTTACAAAGGCTGGCACTTAAGAATTAATTGAGATATATACTGGTATTGAAAATTAAATCTGAATGTCTGGCAAAAAGTACAAATCAGTCAAACATTTTACAAAATTGATGAAAAAATTATCTATTTTTTTTTTCAACTTGTCCAATATTATTTAAAACATTTTGAAATCTTGCCCATACATGCCATATATATATATGATAAATGAAATGATTTATATCATTGATCATTAAAATGATACAGAAATAAAATTAAACAAAGTCAAAGTGAAAATGGAACTGACCAAATTTGATGGAAAATTAACTAGTATAATCTGAATGACGTTAACCTTCTTAATGGTCTTTACATGCTATAAATTAATAATGATTTATCACAATGTATTTTTAAATAGGTGCTTGAACATGGAAGGCAGTGTTACCATTCCTAGTCATGTAGAGGACCTGACAAAATGCATGTATGAACTACAACAGGATGGGACATTCTGTGATGCAGGCCTCGAGTGCAAAGATGGCGTCATATTTGTTCATAAACTTGTTCTTATGGCATGCAGAAGTCCATATTTAAGGAATCAATTGGCGTCTCAAAGTCAAGGTGAAAGAATTTATGTCAGTCTCAAGAATTATTCATTAAAAACAATATGCTGTTTAGTGCAGACCCTTTATACAGGACAGTTAAACATTTCCCAGGAGAATGAAGTAGATTTTAGTCATTTGTGTGAGACGATAGGTCTTGACAATATGAAATCTGCTGCTGAAAATTTTATTCAGCAAGATCGAAATATTCATGAGGTCGAAAGCATGAACCCATTTTGTGCTGTTCAAGTTGAAGAGGAAATATCAGAATCACAGGATGGGATTACAGCACTGGTGGCATCTGTCAATCATGGACCGGATGACAACTTAGTTGACAGTACAAACACTGTTGATTATGTAGAGGATCTCAACTATGACAACAGTGATCTTAAAGTTGGTAGTGATATAGCTAAAAGAAGTCAAGATTCCAAAGAAGAAAGGGATGCTGAAAAATCTTTGGATCCACCCACAGGAAGAGAAACCAGAAGCAACAAGAGAAGAAAAATATTCCACAATGATAACATTGCACAAGCAAAAGACAATGCCACCTCATCTAATGTGGTAGAAATATTGGCCATTGCAAAGCAATTGTCTGGAATAGAAGAAGCGCAGACATTTAAACCTGCTTCTTCTTGCCTAGATCAAACTAAACCCAGTTTATGTTCATTATGTACAAAAGAATTTGTAAATGAAGAGGAAAATGCTACAGATCCAAGCAAGAAAGTTTGTTCAGAATGTATGGTTTTATTTAGTGGAGAAACCAATGATGACCAAGAGATGGGAACTAGGCCAGATCAAACACAAAATTACAACAGTGAAGATGGCGGAGAAGACAGCCAAAAGGTATTAGTAATGATAATTTAAACTTCTTATACAATTTTTATATGACTGCAAAAAGAATGGCTTTTTATAATGCTATCATGTCGTCATGGGCGTCGTCGACCAAAGATACATATGCTTTCCAGATAATAACTTTAGTTGAAATGAATGGGTCTCTGAAATTTTATAAGAATGTTCAATACCACAAAAGGAAGGTTGGGCTTGATTTTGAGGGTTTTTGTACCAACAGTATAGGAATAAGTGGTCCAAAATCAAGTTTTTTTTGTAGTTTCCAGACAATAACTTGTGTGAAACATGTGTAAGTGTATGGATCTCTCTGAAATTATACCACAAGATCACAAAGGGAAGGCTCAAATTGAGTTTGGGGGTAACAATCAGGAATTAGGGGTAAATACACTGTACATGCCATATTTTGCCATTTAAGGAGCACTATGGACCCAGTCCTCAAATTTTAACAGGCATCAAAATAGTGCTACATGTGTATAATCATGATGATAATTCATAGCAATATGCATGATATGTGTGAGACCAACGTTTAACTTATCAGCCATTTTTATTTTCACCAAACATCTCTCAGATTGTTCAGAAGCATCATAATGGAAGTATTGACTGCTTACAGAATATCGTAATCTTTTTTATCAGATGCATCAACATGATCAATGCAAGGTATTATCATGATTATTTTAGGGATTTTTCAAGCAACACTGGTCATGCTGGTTATAACATGGTCACATTTTGGTGGCAGTAGTTGAAATTGAATTATTTTTTATTACTGCCATAATAAGCATATAACATGTATAAAGTAATGAATCGATAGAAGAAATATTTTTTCATGATAAATTATCAAATAGGATGAGTTTAATAGCAATTAAAATGTGAAATTTTGAGACATTTTTGAAGTTTGTCAATTTAACACTACATGTAAATGAAAACAGAAAAAAAAGATTAAGATTTATGACCCCTTCTGTGGCCATGTGAATTACGAAATTTTCAAACTGCAATACTATCAAAGCAGCAAAGATAATGAATAATAGAGATGGTCCGTTTTGTAAATATACCAAGGGGAAACTTTGTGCAAAGCATTATTATTTATTGTTTCATTGCATATAATAGAAAAAGGGCATACATGTAAAACCAAGATTTTTGTAGAAAATCCACAGACTTTTATACATCTAATACAGAGATTTTTGTTATAAAATTTTAAACATAGATTACTCACTTGTTTATTTATGATGTGCTAGCATTTATGTTTACAAAAAGTTCTAACAATCTGTAAATTCCAAAAAAACCTCAAGCTGATTTGAGCGCACCCTAGAAGGTGTACTTGAATTGATCCATATTTATATTTGTTTTAACCAATATCTAAATATATAAACTTGTTTTAAGGAAATCATTGCTAGCACTGCATACAATAATCCTCTATCTATATACATGTAGCTAGCAAGCACAGAATTGCCAAATATGCGAGTATAAGGGGAAAGGCTGGGGATTTTCTATAAAATTTCCATATGTTTAGCATTGAATCAACACAAGGGTAAATAATCCTTTAGCATGTTTAGTGTAGTGTCTCCATATGATTTCAGTTGGAGTTGTTTCCCTTTAATTTACTGACATGTTGAAAGGTAATTGCCATTCTGGAAATGACTGGTTGACTTTCATATTAAATGAACAAAAACTACACTATGTACATTTGTACATATTTGAATCTTTCGTACAAATGTACCATGTGTACATGTACATGCAAGTCTGATAATTGAAAAATCTTTACAAAATCATACATGTACTACAGTAGTGATGACGGCTCAAAGAAACGATTGTTTTTCAGAGTTTTTTTTTCTTAAAGTCTAATGTCAGCATTATCAGTAAATGTATATAACAAGGTGCACATGAGTTTGTTGATTTACAAAATTAAGGTTCATCAAGCTTTTGCACATTCTGACAATGACCAGCCTCCCCTATAGGAAGCACACCACTAATTCATAGCCCCATTGCTTTCTATGTTAAATTCCACATATTCAAGCAGGCACAGCTCTTAAATGATTTAAGTTCAAATAAAGTGACAATCATTGCATGTCAAAGCAACTCTTTATGGTGTCTTGTACTGAAAAAAATCAACATATCTTTAATGGCATATAAGCATGATAAGAAAGAACTGGTTCCCAGAACATCGGATGTACCAAAACAGGTACTTCAGATCAGTCTGACAGCCAAAATATACCCTCTTTTTAAAATTTGATGCAGTTTTTTTAATATTCAAAATTATAAGTCCAAAAAGTGTTCTACAATGATCACCAGTCATTCAGCTTTCATTTGATACCAAAAATACCTAAATATTCTACATATTTTGAAAGTTACATTCATGCGTAGGAACTATTTTGTGTTAAATATGTACTACTTTCTGGTATGTGCTTTCTGGCCCAGCCTGAATTAGTGGTGTTACACCTATAGCATGTATAGTAAGTCATACTGCTTTGAACAGTAAAGCATGTCACACTGGAATCAGATTTTATTGAAATAAACATATCCATGATAAAGAATTAAATTGTCCTAAATAAATGGAAATGAAAATTAAAAAAACCACCAGGTTATTGTAACAAAAAGAAGTTATCAGTTTGGTCTTTCTCCGTGTTCACAGGAAATATATAAACTGTACCTATGATAATTCTACAGTAGGAAATTTTAAAACAAAAATTGAATAAAAGTTGTGATGGTTATTGGAAGTTTTCATCTGAAATGGAATTGAATGTTTTTCATGTTTATTCCTTTTAATTAATGCATAATTTATCTACATCTACCATTGTCTACATGTAATCTACAAACCATGTACATATGTCTGTTCATCAATTGATATAGATCTTTTTAAATTCTTATAAGTAGTCATTTGTAAGTAGATATAAGAAGATGTGGTATGAGTGCCAATGAGACAACTCTCCATCCAAGTTACAATTTGTAAAAGTAAAAGTCAATCATGTCAAAGTACGGTCTTAACACGGAGCCTTGGCTCACACCGAACAGCAAGCTATAAAGGGCCCCAAAAATGACTTGTGTAAAACTATTCAAACGGGAAAACCAACAGTCTAATGTATATAAAAAAAGAGAAACGAGAAACATTTATGAACAAAGGACAACCACTGAACATCAGTTTCATCATTTTTCATTTAATTTGGTAAAGGTTGCAATTAATCGCTCTCCCAGATCATGACACATTGTAAAGTGACCCAGTCTGCACTGTCACCCACAAGTTCAATGCCCTGGACTAGGAAATTTTTATTGGGACTAGTAAATATTTGCTTAACTTTGTTTAGATGCATAAGACACATGTAAGACATGTAAGAAAAAAGTTAGAATATTTATTATCTTGGGACATGTCGAAACATTAGTGAAACATCTGAATTATCTTACATTTATTATCGTGTCCGGTTTTTGGCTTTCGACTTGTTTTTATAAATCTATGATTTTTTATGCTTGAAATTGTTCGAAATGGTCATTTTGTTGAAGACTTTTGTTTGTACATGTATGCACATGTATACATACGCAAGAACATGATAAAATGTGAATTTTGTTGTTGTTCGACCTGTTAGTCAAATGCGTTTTGTTAAAATATACTTTTCACTTTTTTGGTCTTTTGGAAAATGTTGTTTGTGCTGTATTTAGACCCACTACCAAGAAATTTGTTTTACATGCACACGTATAAAAATTGTGGTTTTTATCCAACAAAATCATAGGTTTGAACGTTGTTTTCAATTTAGACTTGTTTATATTTTTTCGTTTGGGCATGTATTATATTTGCCTTCGGGTTAATATGATCCGTTCATCCTATTTTGACTCTTCAAAATTCAAGAGTCTATCCTAAATTGAGGTAAATTGTATGGCTTTCCAAATACTGTTTCGATTCCTAACATCACTGAAGAGACATTAATTATCGTAATCCGGATATGGTGTACAAAAACCTTTGCACCTTTTGTTTGCGGTATACCATCTTTTCCGCAAGTTTATTGTTTTCTGTTTAGTATTAAAATTATAATTAAGATCCATTTATTACATCGGTGATCTGTTTATTTGGCAATCGCCAATGGCATGCAATCAGCAGGGTTTAAGAACATTTGTTTTTCGACCTGTTAGTCAAATGCGTTTTGTTAAAATATACTTTTTCACTTTTTTGGTCTTTTGGAAAATGTTGTTTGTGCTGTATTTAGACCCCTCTAACAAGAAATTTGTTTTGCATGCACACGTATAAAAATTGCAGTTTTTATCCAATGCAATCATAGGTTTGAACGTTGTTTTCAATTTAGACTTGTTTGTATATACATGATATATATAATCATGATAATATATATGCATTATCTTAAAAACAAATTAAATGAGCAATTCCATGAACAGATGCATGATATTTTCTTAACAAAAGTTAGTAATACATGATATACATGATATACATGTACAAGTACATGCAGTAATGCACTTGACTCTTCAGTGGTAATAAGACATTTGGGCTGATTCAGACGGATATTTAAAAGTTTATGTACACAAACCCATTTATCATTTATGAGATTTAATGTATAAAATACTGTTTTCATTTTTGTAAAAAATACATTCAGGAAGGGGAAATTTGATTTTGGTTGGGAGGATCACGAGGATGCATTGAAGGAGGTTTATTTAAGAAGCAATTTTCATTTCCACCTCTTGCTATGTTGAAATATTCATTTTTATCCTACAAACTTGTATCATGGACAAGACTGTTTTTACCAGGCCAGAATATTTATTTCTAAAATCTCCCTGGCCACCCAAGGAAAGAGAGATTTTGCTATAAATATTTATGAAAATGTCTTGATTTTAATAGCAGGTCAATACCTACCTTAATCTTGATTCAAATACCTATTACCTTTTTAAAAAAATACTTGTTAATCACTTCCTTTTTAATAAAGCTAGAGTTGATTCCCTTTTTACCCTTTTAAAAATCACTTCTAGGCCACACTTAAAAATATTTTGGTTTGCCCAAACCCTAC